ATTTATTATTGAGTAATATCTTAGTAAAAAGAAAAGATAAGACTTTCTTATTTTATATTCTAGCTTGTCAATATCTGTAATTTGAATTTCTAATTCATTTAAAACTATAGACTTACCACATGACACACAAAAAATTTATATTTATCTGTTTTTAATATTTGCTTTTAAATTAAAAAACTGAATAATATATAGTACTAAAATTTGAATTATAATCTACAGTTTGATGCCGAACTTATTGACATAAATTCATGAAATAGTAGTTCAATAAAATTTTGAGTGCGAGTCAATAAACGAGATGACATGGCCTTTCATCTGTGACCCATCTCAAAAGGGTTAAATCAAAATTCAACCAATTAAAAATTCAAAACGAAACTACTGCCACACATTATATTTTGGCAATGTTTGTATGCATATATATATATTGATGGGGGGGGGGATTCACAACAAAAACGAATGCTGATAATATGAATATTTAATTTAGTGAGATTAATTTCTAGCTTAGATGCTTATGACAAGAAAACTAACACAGCTGTCTCAACTTCTTACCAATAAAGCTTCGATAGGAACTAAAATTATGATCAAATTTACAAAATTAAACTCAAAATTTTCAGTTGAAACACTGACCCCCCTTCTCTCGATTACACACATATAGGTCTAAGGCTAACGTTAGACAAACATGACCAATCATGGCTAGGAAATACAGAAGACCTAGCTAGCATAAGAAAAGTGGGAAAATCCACTAATTAAACAGAATATAATACTGATAACTGCAAACAAAAATTTATGAAAGTTTTGACCAGTACGAAACAGAATAACAATAAATAAAATAAGACTAGATTTGCCTTTCTCCAGGTCAATACAAACTACGAGTACAAACAACAATACATATTAATGGTGTGTGTGCACAGTGATCTGACATTGTGTACGTATTACAGTACAGTAGTATGTGCGAGAGTTCAAATGCAAGTCTAGTCTTACTACATGCTTTACTTTACTCTACTTGGAAGGCAGGCCAAGCTTGTTAAAATGAAACATTGAACATTACTGGCCAAGATCGCTGTTCTGTTTAAAAGTTTTACAGATCATTTAATGTTTGTTTCCCTAAGACCCCATGTAAGATTAGCATGATTTGGGTTTATGTTTGCCAATGTAACAACCTTCCTGGAAAATAAGGTGTCAAAATTTACTTGATTAAAGTACAAAATTGCCAACTAAACATTAACTGTACTTTTTGAAAATAAATAGGATATAAAAACATCAAAATTGTTGTAACTGGGTCTTTCTTAGGGTCTTTGTACATCAATATTGTCATAATTGGATCTTTTTTTTGAGGATTATGTTTTTTAGGGTTTCTTTTCAGACAACCAGTACAGCCTTACAGCAAACCTGGAAATTATCTTAAAATTGAGCCTTCCAACCTAGATAAAAATGAGCTAAATACAAATACATAAGATTAAAGTCCTTATACATACATGCACTTCTTAACACAGATGTTAACCCAGGAACACAAGCGTGGGGTCACTATGACCTCATATCACCTGACTGACAATTTAATGCTGGCTTTCTATAGTTACTACCTTACATATTTTGTACTTAGCACAGAAGAATTAAATTTAAAGCGTGCATCCAAACAGAGATCATAAAAACAAAGTTTCAGTTTGTTTTATTTGTAAGGAAAGAAACAAAGTTGGTTTATTTGAATTATACCACATGAATATGTCAAAACAATTCTTGAAATTTATGTGAGCAGTATTCAAGCACGATTATTTCCAACAGATAAGTTACAAATAATCTGAAAGAAGCAGCTGATCCAGAAATATTAAGCAGAGAGTAAAATGATTGCAAACACACAAGAAAAAAACAACATAAGTGATTAATTAAAAGAAACTTTTTATTCATCAATAAATCTCATGTCAGAACAATGGAGTTTTTCCTTACTCTGACTGGCTTTAATGGTCATTTGAAATTATTATCTGGCTGTTGAAGCAGAGTGAGAGAGAATAAAGCATATCTGCACTAAATAAAAACAAGGCCAGCAATGATGATATATCACACTGTATTAGTGCAATATTCCACATTCCTGAACTACCTACACCAACAAATTTTTCCATTATATATATGATAAACAGCCGTTGATACTAAGTTGTTCATGTTTCTATATCACCCTTCAACTTGAGCATGACTTAGCAATCGAGTGGAAAAATGACACAGAAATGGGATCAAGCAACTATAATCCTTTCCAGTGACCACTGTAATACTAAAGCAAGTGTATGAAATTTAATGTCCTGTTCACAAAAATATCAATTAACTAAATGCAGAGCACACAACTTTTTTTTCAATTTAGTTTAATAACATATGAATAATGTTCTTTCCTAGTTATAGAAGAGTAAAATATAGCAACTTATTCAACTGCAACATAAACTGCCCTGTAAGCAAATTGGCTGTACTCATTCAGTGGTTATGATTTCAATATCATGAAAAGTAAAAAAAAATAATTTACTCCTTTAAACAATTTAAGTATCAATATTTTCAAAAGGCCCATATACTTCACAACATGAACATGTATACTTAAAGTTTCAGGACATAGTTTCAATAAGGATCAGGTCTTTATACTATTATTGTACATTACTAAATTTTCTTAACTTATTCTTTTATCCTTGAAATTAACATAAAAAACAATGAAATAACTATACAAAAAAATGTTTGCAAGGAAACAATATATTGTTTAATATCATTTCCGTACGTCAATACATTTCTGGTATAACTACAAGGTGCATTACAATAAACTTATAAAGTAAATTTGTTAAAAAAATACGAAGATTCAAGTTTTATTTTGCAGAGTATTTAAATAACGAGGAGGAATGTTTTGAAATGATTCAGTATGGCTTTCTAATTCTAATTTCTATCACTTCAGGTTATACACCAAATCAATATAGTCTGAGAACCAACTTCACTCTTCTGCCTCAGGGATTACAATTACAAATAACATATTAACATTCAATATCAAATTTGCATCTTCTGAGTTATGAACACATTCTTAAACATATTTCTATATTAGTGAAATTATAAATTAATGTGCAAATTTACAACTCTTACTAATACTAACAGTAATATTTATAAAAGCTGTGAATAAACTAAATTAGTAAATACCATTTTGCATCCCTCTTCAAATCACGAGAAGATTTCGCCCTCTGTCGCATATCAGAAAAATATATTCTGTAAATCTATTCATTCCAAAATAGTGCCCATATACACAGAGTGGTCACAAGTAAATAGACACCACCTTTTCAGAAAAAATGACATTTTTCAGTCATATTCACATGAATTGATATATTTATAATTTAATTAATATCTAGTAGTAATATCTTCGTGGAGTTCGTTGATCCTTTGGGGCATCGTGAGAATCATCTCGTCAGTTTTAGATTGTGGGATTTTTCGCCCACTATTGCTTCAAAATTTGGAGTAGATCGCTCTTCGAAGTTTGG